AAAAGTTTTTAAAGTTCAAATCTCCTTAAAAATGTTTCAAAAAGTGCATTTGAAAATTGCAACAATTTGTCTCTATTTTTGGTTGATGGACAAAACGTGAATAACATACAATTTCCGGTAAATTTTACAATATCAAAAATGTTTGAAGCAAATAAAGTATTTTGTGAGAATGTTTACTTTACAAGAAAAGATGTGGATGAAAATTTAATTATAACGGAAGAAGAAGGAAAGTGTGTAGGGAGAATTCCCAAAAGTGTTATTCATTTGGACGATTGTTGTTTTATCGCATTTAGAAAAGACAATTTGGAAATAGAAATACACGAAAATATCAAAACGATAGGTAGGTTTTGTTTTGTATTAAGTGTTGATGAGGAACATGTACATTTTATTGACAAATCAAAAGTCGAAATTGCAGAAGATGCATTTAGTTATATAGACAAATATATTAGTGACACACTCAAAGAAAAAGAATCAAACAAACAACGATAAAATGTTATTGAAATGAGAATATATATTTATTTTCATTCTTATTGTTAAATTTTATAGGTAAAAATGCTAAAATTAATAATAGATTATGTTTATATCCAATTAAAAAAATATAGTTGAGTTTTGTTTTTCTATTTATTTAAAAGTGATTTCAATAATTATCATTTGTATCTGATTTGAATATTATAGTGTTATTTCAACAATATTAAATATACTCATGATTAACATCATTTATATACAGTTAATGGAAAAAAGGGGATGCTAATCTAAATATTAATTAATTTAATATTATTAATAATAAATAATTAATATAAATTAATTTTGGTTTTTTCATTTTATTAATTTTTTGATTAATTATTTATATTAAAATAAATAGTAATATTATTATTTTTCAATTGAAATTAACCAATAGTTACGAGCATTCATCTTTCTCGAGCATCCCCATATTTCCTCCTACTGTATTTAAAACTTTAATTTAATATTAATTGGAGTAATTATAATATAAAACAATTTATTTAAATTATAATTTATAGATATCAAACTATTAATTAACAATAAATAGTCTCATATTGAAGTATTTAAATTCTTCTTTCGCTCTTTTATTTTTAAATAAAATAATAAATTGTCTTTATAATAAGGAACCAAACATTTTGATTGATGTTTTCAATAAAAAAACAACATAAAACCGTTCAAAATCTACATAATATAATATGGTATCTTTTCTAGACTCCTTTCATATCATGATTGTATGTAAATACTTTAATTCATTTAATGATTTTGTACAATTAATGATTGTTTCAAAAAAGTACAAAGACATTGTAACTCAATTTCATTACAACCCAATTCCACTCACTTTTAATACTTTGCACTATTTCACTCATTTGGAAACTCTTCATTTGTACTCACACGAAGACCAAATGTTCCCTGAAAATACATTTTATGCTCGAGTCTACCATTATATTCAAGTCAATGTAATAACTCTTGTTGGTAAAACAATTATTGTTTATGTTCACAACTTGGCTACTGTTTTAGACCTCAAAACCGAAATTGAAAAGTCTGAAAACATCACAACATGTCAACAGCGAATTATATTTAATAATAAGTTGCTTCAAAATGATGTGAAATTGCACGAAGTTGGGATCGTCGACAAATCAAATGTGCGTCTCGTTTTAGCACTAAAAAAGCCTGTCATTCTGTTGTACGACTCAAGTGCTTCTGAAGGTATAAATTCAACACAAAAAGTTGATATCAAAATCGAACTGTGCAATTCTGTTTTTTCGTGTTTGTACCCAACACCACAAAATGTCGATGAAAACAACAAAAAGTGTATTTGGAGTGCTTTTTACACATCAAAACAACATAGTAAATATATAAAGAATAGTAAAGAAGATGATAATTTGATACTTGAAATTAATAATAAGAAGTTTGAGTATCTCTTTTGGGAAGCCGAAACATACAACACTTTTGATGGTGAAAAGTATGTTGCTAAAAATATTGAAGAAGTGAGAGAAGTGCTTGACAGACTTGGACTGAATACAAGAGAACAAAACGACTTTATCGTGTATTGGGTTAAATCACTGCAAAGATATAAAAAGATGGGAATTGTTGTATGTAATGATCAATATGAAAATGAAGCGAAATTAACGATCAGTGGATTTAA